GAGCTTGACAAGGAGGCTCAAGCGCAGATGAATGAGGAGTTATCTGGTTGGAAGCTTGTAGTGGGGGATGTTTTCCGTGCGCCATCAAATCCTTCTTTGCTGTGCATAATGGTTGGGAATGGAGTTCAGATTCTTGGCATGGCTGTTGTGACAATATTGTTTGCTGCACTTGGGTTCATGTCACCGGCCTCTCGCGGAACACTTATCACAGGTATGCTGTTTATTTATATGATACTTGGTGTTGCTTCTGGTTATGCTGCAGTTCGGCTATGGAGGACAGTCGGCTGCGGTGATCAGAATGGCTGGGCTTCAGTCGCATGGAAGTCTGCATGTTTCTTCCCTGGTATCGCCTTTTTGATTCTCACAACCTTGAACTTTCTATTGTGGGGAAGTCACAGCACAGGAGCCATTCCATTTTCACTTTTTGTTATACTAATTTTGCTTTGGTTCTGCATTTCTGTCCCCCTTACCCTTGTTGGTGGGTACTTTGGAGCTAAGGCTCCTCATCTTGAGTATCCAATTCGAACCAATCAAATTCCTAGAGAAATTCCACAGCAGAGGTACCCATCATGGCTGTTAGTTCTAGGTGCTGGCACCCTTCCATTTGGTACCTTGTTTATCGAGCTGTTCTTTATCATGTCAAGCATTTGGATGGGTCGTGTTTACTACGTCTTTGGGTTTCTCTTCATTGTTATGATTCTTCTTGTGGTGGTTTGCACTGAGGTGTCTCTTGTTCTAACCTACATGCACCTCTGTGTTGAGGACTGGAGATGGTGGTGGAAATCATTCTTCGCCTCCGGTTCAGTTGCCATATACATCTTTTTGTACTCAGTAAACTATCTTGTGTTTGATCTCAAGAGTCTGAGTGGGCCTGTATCTGCAACTCTTTACTTAGGATATTCACTCTTCATGGTTCTGGCTATCATGTTGGCTACTGGTACAGTTGGGTTCCTCTCTTCATTCTGGTTCGTGTATTACTTGTTCTCTTCAGTCAAGTTGGATTGAAGACTAAACACTGACAAACATATTTTCAGCTCGGCAAAGAACAGTTTTTAATATTATCAAGAGGACCCCCTTGGATATGTTCAATTTATATGTTACTTAATTTCAGCTCATTTTACTAGGGAACATACTAAGTTTTATAGCAAAATAATGTTATCCAGTTTTGCTTAATTTGTTGTTAGTTATACTGTCATTGCATGTTAAGGTTCTTAGCTTCTGCTGAATATACTGTGCTTGGTTGTTGATGTTGGGAATTTAATTCAGATCTCCATGTCCTTAACATGCAAACAATGGAATTTCATTTTATTCATGCGGTTGTTTTACAATTTAATGGTCTTTTTTTAACTTGCGTTACTCCACCCTCTTGAGAAGAAAAGGAGAAAGCAATATTTGTTATAGTATTTTTCATAATACAAGTCTAATGATAACTTCAAAATCTAAAAATGTAATAACAGGTAAGTAGCTGCTTTTGGCAACTCAGTAGATATATTTGGTGGATAATTTTGGGATGTTTTCACACTCTATAATGTACCTTGTTAAACAAAAAAATATTTATTGAGTTATTGACACTTTGACATTCTTCTAAAGTTATTAGTATAAATTGTTTATTTGTTGAAGTGATGTTGTGGATATTGTGACTGTGTGAGAATATCATCGTGGGCCTTAGAGTACTCTTGTCTATAATGAATATGAATATGTTTTAGTTTAATCATTCATCATCAAAGATTTTATCAAGATTATAGCTCTTGTCTATATATTTTTTACCTGTTGCATAGCCAACATAGGTAATAGATTAATCTGGCACAATTGATTATAGCCCATTCTACTTAAATTAGCACGCATAATCGATTATAGCTCTGTTTTTATATATATCAAAAACTTTTAAATAACTGTTTTACACTGCCCAAACTTCACCTTAACTGCTTAACTTGGTTGACCTCATTTACTACTCTACAAGCTTGTATGAATTATAGTTCATCTACCACCATATTAGGCTGCAAATATTTGGTTGAATTCTAATTATTTTGTAAAATTAATTGATTAATCGGATAATTTAATATACATGACTTCAAGTTTTTGTAATTGACAATCCACTTTATATTTGTGTAGAATTCACCTCTTTATTTAGTTAAACTTTTTCAATAAACTAATCTAGCTAAATCTAAGTTATTTAGACCAAATTAACTTTATATTTGTGTAGAATTCACCTCTTTATTTAGTTAAACTTTTTCCATAAACTAATCTACCTAAATCAGACCAAATTAACTTTTAAAGTTAGGTAGAATTTGACTCATTGGTTCATGAGGAAACTTGACTATACATACATGGAGCTACTTATGTGAGAACAATATGCTATTGCGAGAAATGAGAACAATGAATATGGACTGTCACATTTTATCTTAATGATCAAGATTAAAAGATACATGCATATGACAATCATGTGACCAATAATTAATTTTTATTCATATTTATCAATGATTAGTCGTAAGACTCACATTTATTTTTCTCACAATTTTTATATGAGAATTGTTCTCACTTGAGTCACTCATTTTATATATAATCATATATACATAATATATAAAAATATATCTTAAAATACTTTATAACTATTATATATATTATTATATTAATATAATGTATATTATATATTAAAGTTAAAACTATTTAGAAGTCAAACATATATATTTATATATATACATACATCTGTAAAGTAGAAGTTAGAAAATTAATTTTACTATTTTATCATTTATATCTATAATAATTATAGTTTTGGTGTATTCTTTGATGTCTCTCTTATTAATTAAAAAGATAACAAGTAATATATTGGTCGGATGATATAAGGTCTAATAGATGTGATTACTGTTATAATATGTCAAAAATTAAATGTTTAATTCATGATAACTATATATTTTTTATAAGAGATTATATTCTTATCTATGAGATGAAATATTTTTAGTTATACTAAAAAACTAAGCAAGGGTAGAGTTATAATATTAATAATAATGTTGTGAATCATAAATGGGAATAAATTTATTTTCTTAAAAAACTTCCAAAAAGAGAATGTATATTGTACACAGGAACAAAATTTCAAATAACATGAATATCCAATATGGATTTTCACAATTGTGAATATATATTTCAACAACTATAGATACCATTAAAGCCAAAGAGTACACAGAATTGAGGATTATTCGACTTTAGACTTTGGAAAATAATAATAAAATAGAATGTATCCCAAAAAAACACTTCGGAAAATAGAATGTATATTGTACACAAGAACAAAATTTCAAATAACATGATAATCCAACATGGATTTTCACAATTGTGAATATATATTTCAACAACTATATATACCATTAAAGTCAACTACACAAAATTGAGGATTATTCAACTTAGAATTTTACAAATATAATATAATAATAATAATTAAGTTTAAAATATATATGTGAGTATTTGCGGGGCATGTATCATTATATCTGTTTTTACCCATGAACTATTATTACGGGTATCCATTATAAATATTTTAATGGATACGGATGAGGTATTTTTGTCATCTCTAACTTCAACAAAAATTTGATACTAATAAAAACATGTTCAGTTAAAAAATTTAAAATCTTATTATTATCGGATGGAATTCATTTTCTTACCACTTACTGAAGTAGAGAAAAATCAGAAAATGATTATCTTTGGTGGAAGCAAATAGGTGGAAGTGATTTAGCAAAAGACATGTATATAAATCTAAGCATTAGAGTGATGTTTATCACTTCAATCCAAAACAATATTTTCCTTTGAACTGAAGAGAAAGAAGAGTGGTGGAAATGGCTGGTGGGTCTTTCACAACAGGTGCTGTGAGTAATGAGAGAGCAAAAGAATACAAAGGAAGGGTCACTGCTTATGTTATCGTTGCATGTATTGTTGCTGCCACTGGTGGCTCTCTTTTTGGCTATGATGTTGGGATTTCAGGTTCATCCATTTTCCATATTCTCACTCACAATTTTCATTATTTTATACATTTCATCTTCTACAATTCATTAATCAAAATTCACTTTCAATGCATATGTCACCCATTACCTTCGTGTATTGAATTTCTCAAGGAAGACATAAGCAAAAAATAAAATTTCAATATGTTCTTTCTGAACTCTTAACTGAATTATAAGAAGAAGAAAAAAACATTTTTTCTCTCTCAAATATAAGCAAATTTAATCATCTCAGTAGTAGAATTAAACCGGGTCCAGTAAGTGTAATCTTCATAAAATCTCAAATTCCTAGCTGGAATAGTAAATTTACATCCACTACCCTCATATTAAGTTGTATTAAATCAGTTACTTTGATTCTGTTGTTCTAAATCCAGTTATATCCCACCCTGCCAGTTAATGGTAATGTCTCCAACTGAGATATCAAATGTTATTGATTATGTTTTAGGGAGAAAAAAACATGTATGAATTATGAAAAAAATATAATTAATCTATGTATGACTCAAATCTTTTATATAGGAGTCATCATAGAATTACATTATGTAGTTCAGACTACTCACCCCTTTTTCTTGTTAGCTGATCCATAACATTTGTTACCATTTTCCTTATCAGAATATGCAAGCATATTCCTAATACTCATATATATGAAATTTTCTCTGATGTATTAACAGGAGGAGTTACTTCCATGGATGACTTTCTTCTGAAGTTTTTCCCATCAGTATACATTCGTAAAATTCACGCCCATGAAAACAACTACTGCAAGTTTGATAGTCAGAGACTTGCAACTTTTACTTCTTCCCTGTACATTGCTGGTTTAGTTGCATCCCTGTTGGCATCGATAGTTACAGGGAAGTATGGACGACGTATTAGTATCATAATTGGTGGTACCAGCTTTCTTATTGGATCAGCTCTGAATGCCGCAGCTGTCAATCTGGGAATGCTTATCATAGGTCGGGTTATGCTTGGTTTTGGCATTGGCTTTGGGAATCAGGTAGTCTCACTTTTCTCCAATCTTTAGCTGTGATCAAGTTTTATGCATATGCAATCTTTTGTTGTGAAACTTTGGTTTATTTAGAGAATTGGTTGACTCAGAAAAGGGGAAACCAACTGTTTCCTGTTTAAACCAGAACTAGATAACACCGAGTGTCAATTAGCTTTGAAGAGCGAGATGTCACCATTAATTGTGTTTTAAAATGCAGTCAGCAAATGTAACCGTGACCAAAACATTGCACTTTTGGTGGTCTATCCAGCCACATAGTGACCACAGCTGTGGCTGCATTTTCCTGCAAATATCTTCAATTGCAGTGAATACAATGCAGCCACAGGTGTATTTGTAACCATAATATGAAAGCACAAGTTCGTAACAACAATAGGATAAAGGATTAGTAATGTGATAGAAACAGTCAATGAATGGTCCATAAAAGTATGTTTCAGTTGAAAAAGAGAATCCATTCATACCTTAGAGTCTTAGACTTCAAAACTTACTATAACTACTTCTGTCTATTCTCTTGAAGGCAGTTCCACTTTATTTATCAGAGATGGCTCCAACCCACCTTCGAGGAGGTCTGAACATGATGTTTCAAGTAGCAACCACTTTTGGTATTTTTACAGCAAATATGATCAATTTTGGAACACAGAAGATTAAACCATGGGGGTGGAGGCTCTCACTTGGCCTGGCTGCTATACCAGCTATTTTGATGACTGTAGGAGGGATATTTCTTCCCGATACTCCAAATAGCTTAGTACAACGAGGATTAAAGGAAGAAGGAAAGAAGCTCCTTGAAAAAATCAGAGGAACGGATGATGTTGATGCAGAGTTTCAAGATATGGTTGAGGCGAGTGAATTTGCAAGCTCAATAAAGCACCCCTTTCGGAACATATTTGAAAAAAGATACAGGCCGGAGTTGATCATGGCAATCTTCATGCCTACCTTCCAGATTATGACTGGCATAAATTCAATTCTTTTTTATGCTCCAGTGCTATTTCAGAGCATGGGATTTGCTGGGGATGCATCTCTCTACGCCTCAGCCTTGACCGGAGGAGTTCTTGCTTTTTCGACATTCATTTCTATTGCAACAGTAGACAGATTGGGCAGGAGACCTCTACTCATCAGTGGTGGAATACAAATGGTTATATGTCAGGTAAAACACTATTGCAAATTCCAACCATGCTTACAAGAACATTGATATTGTGAAATTATGACAGAATATGAGCAAATACACTTATCCAGTATTCAATTTTTATGATGTATTATCACGGACCTCATGTTTTATGGAATGAGGCAAAGGGGTCGGTTTACACTAGAATTAAATTACACGAATTACACTTGATTTAAACCATTCACCCAACCTTAATCTCATGGTATTGAAGACCCTCGTGACCTACTATCCGCTTCTCAATGCTCACCTCTCTCGCCACCCGACAAAAACTCTTTTCTTCAGCTCCTAAGCCACATGACAATCGGTTGCAGCTGTTTTTCTTTGGTCTCATATTAGAACATACTTTCCCTGGGAATTGTATTAAATGTGGGGAGGGAATTTGCCAAGTTGAGTAGGAAAGTGGTTACTACAAAACTTGACCACCTTTTCAGAAGCTCACTTTACTTTATATTTATCAAGCAATTGACTTAACTTTCATGTTTTACATGGACAGGTTATTGTTGGCATAATTTTAGGGACCAAGTTTGGGCCAAACAAAGAATTGTCAAAAAGTTTTTCTGCATTGGTTGTAGCTGTGATTTGTCTATTTGTTCTAGCATTTGGATGGTCATGGGGCCCACTTGGATGGACAGTCCCAAGTGAGATATTTCCATTAGAAATTCGATCAGCAGGGCAAAGTGTCACAGTTGCAGTTAACCTTCTATTCACATTCATAATTGCACAAGTCTTTCTTTCACTTCTTTGTTCATTAAAGTTTGGTATCTTCCTGTTTTTCGCTGGTTGGGTTACATTCATGACCTTATTTGTTCATTTGCTCCTTCCTGAAACCAAGGGAGTTCCCATTGAAGAGATTGCATTTTTGTGGAGAAGACATTGGTTCTGGAAAAGGATATTGCTAGATAACTGATGCCACAATTTCAGAATGTGCATAATAGAATGAGAATCTCAAGCTATAGTCTTGTCTATGAAGATGCTATAACAACACAGCAATAATAGAGAAATCCATTTAATATTTAAAATCCATGGAGACCAAATTAGCAAAACAAAACATCATTTTGTGTTACATATATTAAAAATTAAGATTTTTAATTAAGTCCTCTATGTATGCACAATAAGTTCACTTTCGTCCCTTGATCTCAATGTCTTCGTTCATCCTTAATAAGAATCCTCATTCCCCAAGCTGATCCTGAAACTTAGATAAGCATTTGTTACATAATTCCTCCAATAATCTTCATAAATTATGATTTATGGGTCATAATAATTTTATTCTACATTTTTTTAAGTATTTAGTCCATTCAATTTGACCCATTTTTTGAATTTTGTCCTCTTTGTTAGTTTTGTTGAAATTATAATATAGTAAGAGAAGATCAATTCTAAAGAAATACAATAGTTCAAATTAGTGGATAGATCAAAACCATTGAATTTCCCTAGAATTGGTGGTTAAGATGTGAAGTAAGTTTAAACTTACTCTTGGAGTAAGTGGATCTCCACCCATAGTTAAATATTATGTAATATTTCAGTTCTATTTTTGATGCAATTCATAAACAAAATTGAATAAAAGGAAATGTTTCAGTTTAGTTTGATTAATATTAAACTTTTGTGTAAAATTGAACTCAATCCATCATTGACATCACAATTAGATATGTAAGTTACCTAGAGAACATGGTAGGTATCACTTAAAGTGCTAATGGTTTCAGTTATAACAAATTGGCTTCTTATAAATTCTACAAACTCTACACAGGGTTAGATCAAAAAATGTTTATTTTAAATGTTGTATGAGTAAGACAAATTTCACATTTTTAAGTAAATAAACGTGAAATCTTAAATTTGGTTGATTTATTAAACGACAACAATCATTTTATTTTCAGAAATGACAATTCATTTTCAAGTATTGAGTTTGATTTGACTCACCACCTACCCTCTAGTGGAAGTCACCCTCAAGTTATGCTTTCAACATATTTATGATTGAAATTAATGAAAAAGAGAGTTATTCTCCCAGCATATTAGGCTGCAATTTTAATTAAAGTCATTGATTTCAAATGAACTGCAATAATTGAGATAAGTATTAATATCACATACTCATATAATTAAAGTTATTGAATTCTGAAGAAGAAGTGCAATAATTGAGAGAAAAACCATGTAGATGATAAGATGTCACAAACATGTCAAAAAACAGCTAGACAAACCCTGACAGTATCTTTATCACTTATCTAGTGATCACTCTTCACAGACACACATCAGTGACCAATATCACATATTGAATGTTTGGAACTAGTAGTCCTAATACATTTAACTTAATAATTTTGAGTAAATTTATATGGTTTCCATTCACTAATATATAATGATTTAGATGTGTCAAAAACTGTCGATGTCAAATGAAAAAACACAATCTTCTTATGCAAGAAATCTTAATTAATCCAGTGTTTTTATAAGTGGGGTTAAAAGATTTCACATGGGCAATGATTATAATGATACCTCGTACTTAGCTGGAGCAAATAAGTGAATTTATCAGAAGATCTGTTTATAAATTTGAAGCAGCATGGAATGATGTTCACTACTCAATGCTCAAACAAATAATATTGGCTTTTGTTCTGAGAGGATAATAAAGGAAATGGCTGATGAATCTTTCACAACAGGTGTTGTGGCTAAGGAGAAGGAAAAGCAATACAAGGGAAGGGTCACTGCTTATGTCATCATTGCATGTATTGTTGCTGCCACTGGTGGCTCTCTCTTTGGCTATGATGTTGGGATTTCAGGTTCATCTATTATCCATATTCTCTTACTCATAACTTTCATTATTTTATACTTTTCATCTTCAGGTTCTTTTTGTACAATCCAATCAAAACTTAGATACTGTTTTTATCACATGATCTATCAAAACTCACTGTCATTGGAAGTTGAGACAAGAAAGAAGGTACAGGGAAAACAACTGCAATGAAAAAAGAAGACAAGTACAAATAACTTGTCAAGATTGCATAACTTTTCTAACTGCACTCTTCATTCTAATCTGAAGTGTTTAATTAAGATCCAACTTCTATCATTCTAGAAGATTCAATTTCCATTTATCATCTCGCTAATATAATTAAAGCCGGGTCCAGGAAATGTATAACCTTCATAAAATCTCAAGTGCTTAGATGGACTGGTAAATTTATAATACCCCATATGGAATTGCATTTCATCAGTTACTTAGACTATATTGTTCCAAATCCACAATTTATGATAAAAATATATTGTTATCACCCAAATCTTATGGTCAAGCTGAGATAGCAAATGTTCTGGACTAAGTTTTGGGGAGAAAACATGAATCATGAACAACTCTAACTAATCTATCTTAGCGACTCAACACTTTTGTACTCAGAGTCCAGACTACTACACCTCTTTTTTAGCTGATCTATTAACAATTGTTATCATTTTCCTTATAAATATGTATATTTAGTTATATATATATATATATGTGTGTATATATATATATATTTTATAAAAAAATATATTTGCTTACGTAGATATATTTGACCACCTCTGACATGTCCAGTCCCTTTCTCCAGGAAGGGGCGCCCATTCATAAAGCTTGTAAAGCAGCCACTTTAGTCCTGAATTTTCTTGTTCGAGTTTTTGTAGACCTTATCTTAAGTTTTAAGGTTTTACTATTAGACTAAATATTGTATAGGTTTAGTTGATTGAACATTATTAAATTAAGTGAAAAGAAAGTATGTAACAGTTTTTATTAAAAAATATTTGAAATGGTTAACTGTTAACAGGAGGAGTTACTTCGATGGATGGTTTTCTTAAGGATTTTTTCCCGTCGGTGTATGAACATAGAAAGCACAAACGTCAAAACCACTACTGCAACTACGATAATCATGGCCTTGCAGCATTTACCTCTTCTCTGTACATTGCTGGTTTAGTTGCTTCTTTGTTGGCATCTAAAGTTACAAGGAAGTATGGACGTCGTGCTAGTAGCATAACTGGTGGTGTCAGCTTTCTTATTGGCTCAGCTCTCAATGCCTCTGCTCTTAATCTTGAAATGCTTATCATAGGCCGAATTATGCTTGGTGTTGGCATTGGATTTGGGAATCAGGTACTAACATTTTTTCTCTAATTGGTCATCATTTTGATAATTCAAGTTTTTTTGCTGTAAAACATTGATTTATTTCGAAAATTGGTCCACAAAAGGGAGCAAGCAAATACTTCCTGTTTAAAGTTAGGCACTAGATAACCCATTATAGGCATTGAAGAGAGGGTCAAACATCAGCTGTGTTTCTTTTTTAAAATTGCTGTCCAAAATTGTATCTGAGACCAAAACATTGCATTTTTGGCTGTCTATGGAACCACAA